TTTTGAGACACAGACAGTGTGATGTCAGTTGCGGTGTCTCGCGGCGCGAAAATTTTTGGAGGCGCGTTCTGTTCATTCGATTTCTTTCTCCGTGTCGCCATGCTTTCGCGCTTGTCCTTGTGTTTGTTCCTTCCCGCTCTCGCTCCATGGAGCGACGATTCTTCAAGGGCAAGACATTCGTTTCGTGGTCGCTTCTCTCCGGGCGGTGGTTTTTGACACCTACACCCTGCTGATTGCCCCCACTTCGGCAACATGTCCCCGGGAACCCCATATCGGTGGGTTCAGAACCGGACGTCGCCGGCAGCATGATCGCCGCCAACTACTCTACGATCGACGCCAAGGCCTAACCGGACGGCCCTGACCATCGGCAACTGGATCGGCCCGCTGGTGCTGCAGCACGTGCTCGGTCAAGAAGGGCATCAGGTTCGGACGGGCGCAAGTTCAACTGGGGCTGGTTTCCCGTTACCGACGACAAACCCTGTGCGCTCACCAAGGCCAGCGGCATCACAAAACGTCAAGGACTTGCTCACTTCCATGAGGCCGATCAAGATCGGCGGCCACCGTCCGGGTCGACCACCGATGACTGTCCCAAGCTGATCAAGGCCTCGACGGACCTGCCTATACAGATCATCTAGGGTTAGGCGGCTACCCCGCGCTCATACGGGGCTCTGGGAAAGGGCGAGATCGCGGCGGCTGCTGGGCGTGGCAGTCTCATCAAGCCGACCTGAGCCAGGGTATCTAAGCGGCAACGTCACCCATCCTCCAGGTGGGTCCCGACAATCACCCCTTGACTCCATTACGTGGGGGTGGCATTCGATTTGGTCAGGATGACACCGGCAAGAAGCTGTTTGGGGTTGGCCGCTGACGTCTACTATCTACCCTACTTATAAACAAAAAACCGCGCCCTGTCGCGCCCTACAAGCCTGCCGCCCGGAACGGCCCTCGACCGGGTCAAGACGCTCCAAAAGGCGTTCATGGATACCTTGAAGAACCCGGCTGGTCGCCACGCCAGAAGTCGAAGTGGAGTTTGAACCCGCGACGGCAGAATTGGGTGGCGAAGAAAGATGAAGGTCTCTACGACATGGACCCGCCACGGTGTCGTTGTTGCAGTAGACCCTGTTGCCGAAGAAGTAGCTACGATCGCGCATGGAGGAGACCTGTTTCCCGCCGCGCACAGGCGGAAATCCGGAACACGGTCCTCCGTCGTGAGTGTCGGATCGGCCTGGTCCGTTGGCGGACAGCCTTCAAGTACGGGGCCGCGCGGCTGGCGCGCGGGCGCTTTCTTGAGTGATATTTCTCTCTCCCCTGATCGACGGAATCGACACGCCCGGTGGGACTCCCGTTTCCCCGGGCTCACCTCTCTTCACTGAAGTCAACGATCATGGGTGAAATGCTTCCATGCCTTGCTGCAGGCCTAGCATCAAGTGTTCACTGCTTTCCCCTTCACGCTCATTTGGTGGGCATCGTGATCGGGTTTTCCGTGGGCATCCTGCCCGGGGCTCGGCGGGCCTGTCCAACTTTTGGCGCTGATGCTGCCGTTCATCTTCAAGATGAGGCGTTTGGAAGCCTCGCCTTCCTGCTGCATGTCCGCGGGTCCACGCCACCCCCGGAGACATACCTCCATCCTGTTCGGCATCCCGGGCAAGCATTAAACCGCGTCCCCATCGTCGACGGTCACCCCCCCATGTCCAAGAAGGCGAGGCCGGACGCGCCCCTGGTCGAGGTCGCTCATGAGCTCGCTCGTGGGCGCCGCTTCGGCGACCTGTGCGCTGGCCCTGGCCCATCCCCATCGTCCGTCCGCTGGTGTCTCGCCATCGTGTCGCCGGATTCTTCCATGCTCGCGTGTGCTGGGCGCACCTTTCTGGCGTCCCTCATCGTCACGGCCATCACGGGCCTCACCGCCGCGGCCGTGGGGCTCAATGATCGCACCGTGGGACTCGATCCGATATTCGGCGGCATCGAGTCGCTTTACTTTACCTTCGACAGCCTCATCTCTGGGCGGCTCAAGCTGGTTCCCGTTAACCCCTTGGACTGTTCGCGAATTCCGGAATTATCGCGCTGTCGTCCTGGTTCGAGCATATCGGACTATAATGTGGAGGAGATCGCGGCGTCATGGAGGGGGTCAAGGACACGTTCCGCCAACTGGCACTGTCCTGCGCTGCAGCTGCAGCGCCATCGGAACCTACATCGGCATCATTCCCCGCAGGGCGGAGCCGTCTCGCAATGGGTCGCCTATGCCCACAGCGGTTCGAGCTCGCCCACAAGGAGCGCTTCGGAGGGTGGCGTGGATGGGGCCTGTGGCCCTGGTGTCAGCAGCCGAACAACTCGACCTGGGAGGCGGCCCTCGTTCCGACCATCGCTTCGGGGTTTCCCGGGCAGCGTCATCACCATGGCCATCCTCCTGGGAGCCCTCATTCATCATTCAAGGGCCTCGTGCCCGGTCCCCCGATGCTGCTGCCCGCACTTCAGGGCGGCCACCAGTCGATCTACGTTCTCGTTCGTGGGATCGGTCGTCAATCTCGAACAATCATCACGGTTTCCGTCTGTTTCATCTTTCTGAAAGCAACTGGGCGCGTATCACCGAGGTGGCGGGGCAGCACTGGTCCCCCTGCCGTTCCTGCTGGTGCTCGTCTACCCTGGGGCTTCTGCCCAGACAACGCGTTCGAGGACCTCATCGTGGTGCGGGTCTTCGGATGGCGGGCTGGGTCATGGTGCACAAGCTCGACTTGCCGCGTCCCGCCGCTGCTGCTTTGCACTCCGTGCCTGGGGTTCGCTGGCGAAAGAAACCGGTTCCTCGCCACCGACAATTACGGTTGCGTGGTCGGCTTCCTCGGAGTGCTGACCATCGGAGCAATCATCCGGCGGCATCCCTACCCGGTGTACCGCGGTGCGCGCGACGCCAAACGGGAAACCGCCGAAGACGCGCCCGTGCCCTTTTATCGTACCGAGATGAGGCGACGGAGTCGCCCCTCCTCTCTCCGTCCTGCACGTATCTTCACGCTGGTTATCCTGGCTGGTTTCGGCTGGGGCGTGTGGGAGGGCCATGAATGGGGTTTCCGTGCCCCTGTTTTCCCCTGGGCCTACGTGGCTTTCCGGGATCGTGCTCGCTGCTGGCGCAACGTCGAGATCGCGTCACCGGTTTCCTGAGGGAGCGGAAAGCGCGGTGCTGTCCGCAAGGCCCAATCCGAAGTCGTACGGCGCACACTGACATCGTGGTGTATTCTCGGCTTTTCCGTTTCCCTCTTGCTGTTTGGTTTCTCCATTTCGTTCTCTCTGCACGTTCCTAACCTCAAGGTGGGTGGCCCGGAGAAATGGTTCTCAGCATCTTGCTGACACTGCTCCGGCTGGGCGGCGTTCTACATGCGGTCTTCGAGTACTCGTTAAGCCTTCCGTTCCCGCCGGGAATGTGCTCATCGAGATGTTCAGGGATAGTCCCGCCGCACGCGCGCCTACTCGGACGGGCTCCCTGGATTGACAGTGGCCTAGGGATGGACTACTAAAGGTTTAAGGTTTGTCCTTCACTCCGTGGCCCCACCGCCCGGTGACAAGGCAGCGCGCAAAGGGAATTGGTCCTCATGAAAGTTACAACTTCGACCTGTTGGCGTATCCCGTAGTTCCCCGAGGACGTTCCCCCCGACCTCCTGTTCCGAGCAGCTACTTCGATCCGCCGGGTTTTTTTTGGGCCTCGCGCGAAACTAATCGGGAGCAACCCTGGAAAAAAGGGGAAAAAAAAAAAAAAAAAAAAAGAAATTGGCCCTATTGGCAGGAACTCGGTTCGAGGGCGTGGTCTTCAACGAGCATCCTACAGCGCCTACGCACCATGCCCCGCCCACTCACGTCCGGAATGCGGAGCCTGGGCTCGCCTTCGGGGACGAAGTTGTTGAGATTGTCCACCAGTCCCCGGCATTCGTTGAGATAGTGCGTCCGGGAGAGCTCGTTGAGCTTTTCCTTGTCGGCAGGCTCCCCGGCGGTGGCCTCGTCGAAGCGGCCCTTGATGCCCCAGACGTAAGCCCACTGGGCCGACGAGGAATGGTCGGTGCCGAAGAGGTCGTAGGCGGTGGACAGCCACTTGTTGAAGTACTTCTGGATGATGGGTACGGGGATCCGGTTCGGCCCGGACGATGCGGGTGAGGCCGGTGTTCCCGGTGAACATGTGGAAGAACTCCTCCTTGAGCATGGCCGAGACGCTCTGCGCCAGCGGGGCAAGGCGGAGTGGCTGAGCATGGTGAGCTGGAACTTGCCGTCCCGGTCCACGAACTGGGTGTAGGTGAAGAAGTCGAGCCAGTTGTTCACCGGCTGGTTGAACGACCCCAGCAGGCGCTGCTGCTCGCTGGCCCGGCGTTCCAGCAGCTTCCGCGCCTCGAGCTTGCCGGTATCGCCGAAGTACTTCACCAGCAGGTAGCACATCTGCCAGCCGTGCCGCATCTCGTCGCTGTTGACCCGGATCAGGCCTGCCGGTCGTACTCGGTGGGGGCGTTGTCCAGCAGGTTCTTCTGCTGCTCGACCGAGGCGAACTCGGTGTCTCCCTGATAGACGATGAGGGTGAGCAACGCGTCCCGGATGGACTGGTTCGGTATCTGGCCCACCCGCTCCCATTTGGATTGGCCCTGGTAGTCGCCGAATTCGATGTCGTCGGCGTGTACGTCGCCGAGCTTGGTCTCGAACTTGTAGTCGCCCAGCAGGTCGGCGTCATAGCCGATGTCCTTCTGCCATTCCTTGAAGCAGTCGATCCAGTCGTCGAAAGTGGATATCCGCGTCATCTCCGTTACTCCTTGTTAATTATGGGGATTCAAACGAGCGTTCGCTAAAGTTAATGCATGCTCGCACCAAGGTCAACCCCCGCGGAGGGTTTGCCGTCACGCGGTGACGAATTTCGCCGGCTGCCCTTTTCTTTGCTCAGAATTTGTGAGACAAAGACAGGTTTGATGTCAGTGCGGTGTCTCGCGGACGCGAAAATTTTTAGGAGGCTCGTTATGTTCAGTCGATTTCTCCGTGTCGCCATGCTTTCGGCGCTTGTCCTTGTGTTGGTTCCCGCTCTCTCCATGGGAGCGGACGACTTCTTCAAGGGCAAGACCATTCGTTTCGTGGTCGGCTTCTCTCCGGGCGGTGGTTTTGACACCTACACCCGGCTGATTGCCCGCCACTTCGGCAAACATGTCCCCGGGAACCCCAGAACGGTGGTTCAGAACCGGACCGGCGCCGGCAGCATGATCGCCGCCAACTACATCTACGCCAAGGCCAAACCGGACGGCCTGACCATCGGCAACTGGATCGGCCCGCTGGTGCTGCAGCACGTGCTCGGCAAGAAGGGCATCAGGTTCGACGGGCGCAAGTTCAACTGGCTGGGTGTCCCGTCTACCGACGACAACACCTGTGCGCTCACCAAGGCCAGCGGCATCAACAACGTCAAGGACTGGCTCAACTCCAAGAGGCCGATCAAGATCGGCGCCACCGGTCCGGGCTCGACCACCGATGACGTGCCCAAGCTGATCAAGGCCTCGACGGACCTGCCGATACAGATCATCGAGGGTTACGGCGGTACCGCGCTCATACGGCTGGCGGCGGAAAAGGGCGAGATCGACGGCGGCTGCTGGGCGTGGCAGTCCATCAAGCCGACCTGGAGCCAGGGTATCGAAAGCGGCAACGTCAAGCCCATCCTCCAGGTGGGTCCCGACAAGCACCCTGACCTCCAGGACGTGGGGGTGGCATTCGATTTGGTCAAGGATGACACCGGCAAGAAGCTGTTGGGGGTGGCCGCTGACGTCTACCGCGCCCTGTCGCGGCCCTACAGCCTGCCGCCCGGAACGCCCGCGGACCGGGTCAAGACGCTCCAAAAGGCGTTCATGGATACCTTGAAGGACCCCGAGCTGGTCGCCAACGCCAAGAAGTCGAAGGTGGAGTTGAACCCGTACGACGGCAATTGGGTGGCGAAGAAGATGAAGGGGCTCTACGACATGGACGCCGCCACGGTGTCGTTGTTGCAGGAGACCCTGTTGCCGAAGAAGTAGTTGCGCATGGGATGGAGGAGGCCGTTTCCCGGCCGCGCTCAGCGTTAGCCGGGAAACGGTCCCGTCCGTGTGTCTCGGATCGGCTGGCCTTGGCGGACAGCCGTCGAGTACGCGGTGCCGGAGGGCGCACGGCGTCTTCTTGAACGATATTCTTCTGATCGATCCGGATCGGCCGGGCAATCCCTTTGCCCGAGCGCATCTCTCTTTACTGAAAGTCAGGGACCATGGGTGAAATGCTCCAGGCCTTTGGTGGGGGCCTAGCACAAGTTTTCACGGCTTCCACCTTCACGCTCATGATGGTGGGCATCGTGATCGGGTTTGCCGTGGGCATTCTGCCCGGACTCGGCGGGCCTGTCACCTTGGCGCTGATGCTGCCGTTCATCTTCAAGATGGAGGCGGTGGAAGCCTTCGCCTTCCTGCTGGGCATGTCAGCGGTCACGGCCACCACCGGAGACATCACCTCCATCCTGTTCGGCATCCCGGGCGAAGCCATTACCGCCTCCACCATCGTGGACGGCCACCCCATGGCCAAGAAGGGCGAGGCCGGCCGCGCCCTGGGGGCATCGCTCATGAGCTCGCTGGTGGGGGCCGTCTTTGGGGCCTTTGCGCTGGCCCTGGCCATCCCCATCGTCCGTCCGCTGGTGCTCGCCATCGGATCGCCGGAATTCTTCATGCTCGCGCTGCTGGGCGTCACCTTTCTGGCGTCCCTCAGCGGCACCGCCGTCATCCGGGGCCTCACCGCCGCGGCCGTGGGGCTCATGATTGCCACCGTGGGACTCGATCCGATATCCGGCATCGAGCGTTTCACCTTCGACAACCTCTATCTCTGGGACGGCATCAAGCTGGTTCCCGTTACCCTTGGACTGTTCGCGATTCCGGAGATCATCGAACTGTCGGTCAAGGGTTCGAGCATAGGGGACGACACGGTGGAGGAGATCGGCGGCGTCATGGAGGGGGTCAAGGACACGTTCCGCCACTGGGCACTGGTCCTGCGCTGCAGCGCCATCGGAACCTACATCGGAATCATTCCCGGCATGGGCGGAGCCGTCTCGCAATGGGTCGCCTATGCCCACGCGGTTCAGACCTCGCCCAACAAGGAGCGCTTCGGCAAGGGGGCGGTGGAGGGGGTCCTGGGCCCGGGCGCGGCCAACAACTCGAACCTGGGAGGCGCCCTCGTTCCGACCATCGCTTTCGGGGTTCCCGGCAGCGTCACCATGGCCATCCTCCTGGGAGCCTTCATCATTCAAGGCCTCGTGCCCGGTCCCCCGATGCTGCAGCCCGCAAGTCAGGGAGGCCACCTCGATCTCACGTTCTCGTTCGTGTGGATCGTCGTCATCTCGAACATCATCACGGTTTCCGTCTGTTTCATCTTTCTGAAGCAACTGGCGCGTATCACCGAGGTGCGCGGCAGCCTGGTCCTGCCGTTCCTGCTGGTGCTCGTCTACCTCGGTGGTTTCGCCCAGAACAATGCGTTCGAGGACCTCATCGTGGTGCTGGTCTTCGGACTGGTGGGCTGGGTCATGGTGCAGCTCGACTGGCCGCGCCCGCCGCTGCTGCTGGGACTGGTGCTGGGTTCGCTGGCGGAAAAGAACCTGTTCCTCGCCACCGACAATTACGGTTTGGCGTGGGTCGGCTTCCCGGGAGTGCTGACCATCGGAGCAATCATCCTGGCTGGCATCCTCTACCCGGTTTACCAGCGCGCGCGCGACGCCAAACGGAAATCCGCCGAAGACGCGCCCGTGCCCGTTATCGTACCGGAGATGGAGGCCGACGGAGCGCCCATGCCTCTCTCCGTCTGGCACCTGATCTTCACGCTGGTGATCCTGGTTGGTTTCGGCTGGGGCGTGTGGGAGGCCAGGGAATGGGGTTTCCGTGCCAGCCTGTTCCCCTGGGTTATCGGCTTTCCCGGGATCGTGCTCGCGCTGGCGCAACTCGAGATCGACGTCACCGGATTCCTGAGGGAGCGGAAAGCGCGGGTGCTGTCCGCAGGCGCGAATCCGGAAGTCGTACGGCGCACACTGGACATCGTGGGCTGGATGCTCGGCTTTTTCGTTTCCATCTGGCTGCTTGGTTTCTCCATCTCGGTTCCGCTCTGCATGTTCCTCTACCTCAAGGTGGGAGCCGGGGAGAAATGGTTCATCAGCATCTTGCTGACACTGCTCGGCTGGGCGGCGTTCTACACGGTCTTCGAGTACTCGTTAAGCCTCCCGTTCCCGGCGGGAATGCTCATCGAGATGTTCACGGGATAGTCCCGCGCTTACTCGGACAGGCTCCTGGATTGACAGTGCCCGAGGGATGGGACTAGGTTGTCCGTTCACCTCCGGTGGCCCCACCCCCCGGTGACAAGGCAGCGCGCAAAGGAGAATCGGTCCTCATGAAAGTATACAACTTCGACCTGTTGGCGTACCCGGAAGTTCCCGAGGACGTTCCCGGAACGCCTGTTCCCAGCAGCTACTTCGATCCGCCGGTGGGCTCGCGCAACTATCGGGAGCACCTGGAGGAGATGGCCTATTGCGAGGAACTCGGGTTCGAGGGCGTGGTCTTCAACGAGCATCACTACAGCGCCTACGGCACCATGCCCTCGCCCAACCTCATTGCCGCGGCCCTGAGCCAGAAGACCAAACGCATGAAGATCGGCGTCCTCGGCAACATCCTGCCGCTGCGGCAGCACCCCGTCCGCGTGGCCGAAGAATACGCCATGCTCGACTGCCTGTCCGAAGGCCGCCTCATCGCGGGATTCGTCCGGGGCATCCCCTCCGAGTATCTGTGGTACAACGTCAAGCCCGAGGAGTCCCGGGGACGGTTCGGCGAAGCCTTCGACGTCATCATGAGGGCCTGGACCGAACCGGTCTGGAGCTACCAGGGCGAGTTCTTCCAGTTCGAGAACTGCGCCATCTGGCCACGGCCGGTGCAGCAACCGCACCCGCCCATCTGGGTGGCGGCCCGCAGCGCCGAGTCCATCGAATGGTGCGTCAAGCGCAAGATCCCCATCGCGCAGGTGTACCAGACCAACGACCAGATCGAGGACACTTTCAACTACTACCGCCGCGTGGCAAAGGACGAGGGGTGGGAGAGCAGCCCCGACAAGTTCGTCCTCTGCCGTCACATCTTCGTGGGCGAGACCGACGAACAGGCCCGGGCCATTGCGGAGGGGCCGTTGCGGTATTTCTTCACCTTGTGGAATCGCGGCTTCAACGAAGCCAAGACGGACGTCGCCGTGGACCAGCGGAAAGTGAAGGAAGCCATGGTCAGTGCCAGGTCCTCCAGCTACTTCCGCGAAGGCAACGAGGCGCGGGTGAACTTCCATCCCATGAGCTGGGAGGAGCTGCTCGAGACGGGGTTCGTCATCGCCGGCAGTCCCGACACCGTGGCGCGGCAGGTCAACCAGCAGATGAGCCAGATCGGCGCCGAGCACTTCATGGGCATGTTCCATATCGGCAACCTCGCCCACGGCAAGGTGATCGATTCCCTGAACCTCTTCCACAAGGAGGTCATGCCAAGGCTCAACGGCGCTTGAAACGCAGGACACCAAGGGTTCATGCGGTTCAGCCGCGAGGTGCACAACCGTGGCGATTCTCTCCAGCGGCCTTCTCGTCGCAGCGTTGCTGCTGGCGCTCCCGCCGGTTTTCAATGACCACGCTTCAGCGCAGCAGCGCACCTTGACCTTCATCGTCGGGGCGGGAGCCGGGAGCGTCTTCGACAACGACACCCGCACGCTTGCCCGGCATATCGGTCGCCATCTGCCGAGTCGTCCGAAGGTCGTCGTCAGGAACATGGTCGGAGGCGGCGGCAGCGTGGCCGCGGAGTACCTCTACCGCACTGCCAAGCCCGACGGACGAACGGTGGGGAACTGGCCGGGCGGTCTCATCCACAAACAGATCTACGGCAGCAAGGACGTGAAGCTCGACACACGGCGGTTCGCCTGGGTGGGCGCGATAGCCACCCTGCATCCCGTCTGCGTCCTTACGAAGGCCAGCGGTATCGGCGATCTGGCAGCCTGGTCGGGTGCCAAGAAACCGGTCAAGCTGGGAGGCATCGGCCATAACGACGCCGCCACCAGCATGTCACGCGTCTTCGGCGCCGCCCTGGGCCTGCCCGTGAAGCTCATCGGCGGCTACAGGGGTCCGGTGAACGTGCGTCTGGCCGCCGGCAACCAGGAAGTGCAGGGCGGTTGCTGGTACTGGCAGGCGGTGAAAAAGGCGTGGCAAAAGCTGCTCGCCGCCAGGGAAGCGCAGGTTGTGCTGCAGGCCATGACCAAACCCCACCCGGACTTGCCGTCGGTACCCAACGGCCTCGATCTGGCCAAGACTGAGGAAGCCCGCATGCTGCTCACGTACGGCGTTCATGATCCGGCCAAGATCGCGCGCGCCTATTCGCTTCCGCCCGGCACCCCGGACGAGCAGGTGGCGATTCTCCGCAAGGCCTTTGCCGACACCGTGGCGGATCCGTCGTTCGTCGCCGAGGCCAAGGGTCTGGGATTGGAAGTCCGCCCGCTGGGCGGGGCCGAGATCGAAAAGACGGTCCAGGGACTGTTCAAGCTGAGTCCCAAGCTCATCGTGCAGCTCAGGAAAGTGCTCTTCCCCGAAGAGCCGGCCGGCGACGACCGGAAACCGTAGGGGCGGGTCTCGAGACGCGCCCGCGCTTTCCGCTGTGCGGGCACGGGCGGGTTTGAAACCCGCCCCTACGCCTCCTTGCCGCGAATCAGGCGCTCCACCGTATACTCCATGACCGTCTCGCCGCGCTGGTTCTTCACCACGTGCCGGCAACGGACGATGGCCGCGTTGCGGGATTTGGTCGGGCGGCTTTGAAGCACTTCGATTTCGACGCCTATCGTGTCGCCGACCTTGACCGGGCGGAACAGCCGCATGCCCTGGAGGCCGACGAACGCCAGACCGGTGCCGTGCAGCATGCCGGTCTGGGTGGTCAGTCCCTCGGCCATGGCGAAGGTGAGGCTGCCCGGAGCGATGCGCTCGCCGTAGTCCGTCTCGTCCCGCATGTAC